ACACATCACAGCTCACATGCTCTCCATTGTTCTCCTTTGCAGTTTGACCCAATCGTGTTAACAGCTCTGGACGTTCAAGGTTCTTCTGCTTCAGGTATCTGTATCTACACATTCTGATCATGTCTTTTAAGGGCTGGTCTGGTTCATCTTTGAAACCTGAGCTCTCCTCTCTGGGTGTTGATATCAGTATCAATGAATGATCAAATGATTGATCACTGAAGAGTTTCAGGACTCTGCAGAGTCTCAGTTTGTGTTTCTCAGTGAAGTCTTCAGGCTGTAGAACCAGCAGGAACACATGAGGTCCAGGATCAGAGAGTCTCACACAGTCTTCTACATGTTCTGACAGTTTGTTTCCAGAGATGTTGAGATGCAGCAGATCTGGAGTGTTGATCAGAACTATTTCTTTGTCCTTTATCTGTCCTCTTTCTGTCAGACAGCAGTCTGGTTCTTCTTCAGTGTTGAACTTAGTTTTTCCCAGTATGACGTTCCCCACTGAACTCCTCTGAGACCAGCTGTTCCCCAGCAGAACAACCCTCAGCTCAGACACTGGAAAGAAAAACACTGAATCAGAAAATTGACTCACTGTTTACTTTGTCCAAAATTATATTATACTTATATCATATTCAAAATGTGAGTTTGTACCCACCATCTACGGACGTTGTAATTAGATATTATTACAGTTTAACTTACTGTAAGGTGGCAGCCATTCATAGCTGCTCTTCCTCTTCAGGTGTTTCACATCATCTGTCACTGTAATGACACAGAATACTGATTCATTTACATGAAAGGATTGTTAATCGGTTAACCACTGAGAATAATTTTGAAATGGTTGCATGTCTGTCTATTGTTTACTTTTGCTAGTCTGCTATTTATTGTACCATGCATTGCATACTGTGTCAAAATATGGGAAAATGCACACCAAACTAGATACTAATCTAGTCATTACATAAAAATAATCACTCAATCTGATCATATACAGCCAACTGATGCCTCGTTTATGAAATTACAAACACTGAAATCTACTGATCTGATTGATCATAGTTTTGCAGAAATAATACAAGGCCCATAACATCTGCTGATAAGAGAAGTATAAAATACAAATATAATTTGCTGAAATATTCAAAACATGTTTGCAAAGAGATACTGGTTTGAACATCTTGGGTGATCCAATCCCAAGTGGACAGCTCTAAGTCTGTGTGTTTGCACCTGGCATTAGGATGCGTCTCCACTGACCAGGGGAGTAAATGAACATTTGCATATGTACAACTGCTCCTGCTTGTCAGGTACTCATTTACAAAATCTCAGCCATGCAGGGGCCAGGGAATGAACCACCAACTATTCCACTGGTAGACAAGCGTTCTACCTTCTGAGCCAAAACTGCCTGTCAGCTGATGCAGCTGCATCAGTTGGTGAGTCGGCTTGCACACACACAAAGTGACAGACCTAACGGTTATTAGTGGGTTTCACAAGCCATCTTGCTTTTAATCTGACTTTATTGTATCTGTTTAACAGCTGCTGCTGCTGCTGCTGCTGCTGCTGGGAAGACTAGGCATGGTCCTTCAGTGCTGCATCTAACTTGTGTAATGTTGAAGATAAGGTAGATAACAATAGTGTACCTACTGCTGAAAGAATGTGGCCATATGCAGCCAAACCACCTGGGAATTTGGTCTAAGTAATGGGATCTCAAGACACACTGAGGATGAACTGGGTTTAACTACAGCAGTGAGTCAGAGAATTACTCAACAGACTTTTGAAAATGATTCATATTGTGTAATTCATCAGAGTGAACAACAAGTCAAGAGGAATGCTATAGCAGTAATAACGGTTATGATAAGAATTCTAAGACAATATTTATCAGCATGAGTGGGCATGGAGCTCACTTTAATGCAGGAACAATTAAGAGGATACACTTCTTTTAAACAGATGATGAGAGCAGACAGTGTGTTATCCAGAATAATAAAGTGTTACTGAACTCACCAGGTGCTGCAGTGGCCATAATGTCAGGCAGTCAGTCAGAGACTGATTCAACTGGAAACCAATTGCCGGTTTGAGAACCTAAAGAGAGGATAGCATAAAAGGTTCAATTGACCAATCCTAAGTCCCACCCTGCTTAGTTACTGTTGTTAGGTTGAACAAGCTTGACAAAAAGAGACACCAGTTCCATTTAACCGCGTAGTGTATTAAATAGTTTCTGGGTGTCAGGCAATGTAGCTTAGGAAGCCGACAGCAAGGACTACAGTGGGTTATGTGATGGAAGGATATATGTAACCTGGTCATTTATACAGCAGTAATATGTGTAATCAAGTTATGTAAATTTACATTTGTAATATGTTCCCTACATTCACCTTTCGGGGTACCCCAACTATAAAAGGGTGTCTGCCACCTTACCTCGCCCCTTTTGCTGTTGTGCTCCATGGCAGAGGAAAGTGACATTGCTCTCGTAGTAAGTTCTGTGTCTGAGTGCTGTTAAGCTGTTTGTAAGTTCATTTTATGCTAACATATTCCTGTGAATTTGTGCAGGGGCTCAAGTTATATGGTCATAATTGACAGAGGATTTTGCTTTTGCCACTTGCTGTCAGGAATAAACGGAGATCACCTCCAAAGATATCTACAGTCTGGGCCTCTTCATATCTACACAACACAGACAACCCTAGAGTCCACCAGTTACATAATATTCATGATGATGTCATTTCTATCCAAATAAATAACACCAAAAGTTACTTGAGAGTGGCACGTAAACATATATTAACATATATACAGCACAGTATATTAACACATTTCTCCTCCATTTTGTTGGTGTTCAGCACTTGCACATCGAGGCCCTTTTGCCCACCTCAGGAAAAAAAACGTTGGTGGACACTGCCCTTAATAGTGGTGGTAGTGATGAAAAGTTAATTTGTTACCAATGGTGGTAAATCTTGCAGCTGTAATCTTGTTTTCATAGCGGTTGTGCTATTCATCAGGAGATGATTTACCTTCCTTCTTCACCTGTAGTCTGATCTTTAGACTCTGCCAGTCTTATAGACCTAGGACATTCTGCCAAGATCAGATGCCCCACCTTGCAATGCTGAAGGTGAATTATACGACATTTAGACCTTCTTGGCAGAGGTAATAATAAAAAAAATTTTTTGTATCTTTCTCAGTATCGCTTAACATTAGACACTGTTATATGTCATAAGACTTCATTGTTAAAATTCAGCAAAATTGTGAAACAGATTCTTGAAACTATTCATTTTCATGCCACTACCTACCTGAAATGGCTGTTGCTGTTACCTTGGGTCAAAGGTCTCCCATCATGGATTTGTTAAAGTATATTTCAAGAAATAGTAAGTTCAGTTGATGTGGTTACTTTGGTAACAACAAACAGCGATTCTGGTCCAGCTAATGAAAGGTCCAGTCCTGAATGGTCAGCTCACACCTGAGGATCAGCAACGGTCACTTTTTACTAATCAATTGAAATTTAGTTTGAATTTGTATTTCTGTCATGTCGACTCACCAGGTGAGATCCTCTTTGCTGGAAAGTGCATCGGTGAAATTACAAACTGCACACTAAAGCCAGACTCACCTGGTACAACCTTTCCTCTCAGAGTGGGCAGGACACTCAACACATGACATCAATTCAACAGCTAAGTTAATTTTTAACAGTTATTAAAGTTATACTGTACAAGCATGATTACACACACATAAACACACACATAAACACACACACACACACACACACAGCCTGCAATCCTAAATGAGGCAAAATCAAGCTGGCATCCTTTTCCACCTTTGTGTTTCCACGACAGTGTTTCCATGCTTAGCTGTGGCAGAGGAAATGTCTTGGATGTCATATGAACAAATTTCTCCATGTAGTAAACCTACAAAACACTGCCAGGACAAATTTTCAGAATATTATTTTTGTGTTTATGGCTGACCAGTATATCAATATTATATTGATATCATGATATGAGACAAGATATGGACTTAGATTTTGTTTATAATTGTATGATTTTTCTTTTTTTTTTTGTGAAAGATAAAATATTCAACCTTACAATATCATTGCAATATTGATATTGACGTATTTGGTCAAAAACATTCTGATATTTGATTTTGCTCATATCATCCAGCCCTAATAATTTTTGCATTTTATTTTCGCCACATTTAAATGACACTTATCGCCACTTTTTACATTAAAAATGATATTTCTATATAATATGATGCAGAACTATAATAATAATCTACCCAGTAGTATACAAAGTATTTAAATTTGGCTCCACATTAAGAATTACAACATTAACATGATTTACATGTATTGTACATGTTTGCATGTTGGTGATAAAAAAAAGGAATAATATAATATTCTATAGTAAAAAACACTACGACAGGAGCTATTCAGCTTAACGTGTACCTTAAAATACATTTTGCTGATAATACCTCTGTTTATTTACATAAGTATCATTTTTGAACAGGACACTCTCAGTGTGGTATTGTGTCTTTTAGTTGAGTGAGCACCGTTATTTCTTACACCACTGTACAAAAGTTGCTGACTGCTGCACTGTAATGTATAAGGTAACAGTTCTCTGAAAGGTTTTTCCTTTCTGTAAAATTATATTATAAAAAAAAGTAACATAACTTTCCAGGTTAATATGCCTGCAATGTGGCCGCTAACTGCTAATCATAGATGTAGGTTATTATTTAGAATACAATATTACATTTAAGTAAGAATAAATGAATAAATAAATAGTCTTAATAGTAATACAAATAATAATAAATACCAACTAGTCCATAGCCATTGGTAGCTTTGTCACCTTCTACCTATGCCAATCCTCAATGCCTATGTGCAGTTTCACATAGATTGACCACGTCAGTGAGTAGAAAAACGTGGGACAGACAGAATGACTGACTGACAGAATGACTCACTGACAGTTTCCGTGATTATGTACAGCATACCATACCATGACTTAGTCATACCAAACATTAGTAAACATCACCAACATTGGTCCACAGGGGGAGCCACAGCGATCGGTCGCATTTTAGCCATTTTGAAGCATTTTTCTGTTGTTATAGCGCCACCCAGTTGCCAATTAGAGTTAAATTTCTCCAGTCACCTTGAGGCGTCCTGTTCTACATATCTACCAAGTTTAGTAAAAATCCATATGGCGGTTAGGCCTAGACAAGAAATGAGCTCTCTAGCGCCCCCATTTTGTTTGATGGGGTCAATAATGGAGGGGTCCCCTCAGATTATGTGTGGTCATATGCCTACAAAGTTGCGTGGTGATGGGTGAAACCCTTGAGATGTTATACACCTTTATGTGATGAGCCACGCCCTCCGCAATATTCATTGCCTTATAGAAGCTCAGTTTTAGTAAGTTTTCCAACTTTTGCCAAGAGGGAACTTTAGATATTGGTCCCTAGATTATGTTCACCCAGTTTCATGCAGATCGCTCAAACTTCCTAGGAAGAGATCCATTTGAAGTGTTTTTCAAAAAATTCAAAATGGCGGAAAATCTATATAAGCGGAAGTTATGGGTTCTTGAGGCAAATGTGTTCCTCATGAGGAGAGGCATCTCTGTGCAAAGTTTCATGTCTCTACTACATACGGGGCATGAGATATGCCCATTCAAAGTTTGACATTTCAATGGGTTGCTATAGCGCCCCCCTTTGGCCAATTGATGTAATATTGCTTCATTGGCATCCTCCCATGACCCTCTACCACTGTGCCAAATTTCACATGGATTGACCAAGTCAGTGAGGAGAAAAACATGGAACACACACACACACACAGTTTTCGTCATTATATAGTAAGATAAAGTTATGCTGTTCAGATACTACATTTATCTCAATGACACAGCAACCCAGTGCACACTAAAGTTTGTGTAACCAGTCCAACTGACTCTTTGCTAATTCCCTCCCCTCAAATGCATACTGGCCAACCATAGCATCGCAACAACCAGCTCTGACTAGGGTCCAACAACAACACAGCTGTGCTCCATTGCCTCTAATGCAGTCGTTTCAGATTTCCTTCATTTTCAGGCTGGTTCTGTGGATTTGGAGCTAAATGTTGTGCCTGGGGCACGTCGTGTGTTAATGATACTCGTTACCTGGAGAGGTTGGAAAAAGATATATGTTTCTTCCCTGTTCTAAAACCAAAATCAAACCCTGTAAAGTGTAGGGTTAGCTAGCAAGCTACTGAAGATAGAGCCTACTGAATGTACACACATGCTGCTTTTGCTTTGTAATGATTATAACAGTGATCAAAACTTAGCGAGGGGTCAGTGGATTGTTAAATAATTCTGCATTAATGTAGCATCACAGCATTCTGTTTTAATTTTCCTTTCACCAAAATAATAAAGAAAAAAATTACGTATTTTAAACAATAATAATAATGATAAGAATGTGTAGTTCACAGGTACAATGGATGTTTCATTTCACATGGTGTTTGCACAGAGACTCACACTGACTTATTCAGCAGATGGTTTTGTACTAAGTGATAAATAAATGACGTACAGTCTTTGGAAATTAGTGTCTCAGTGCTCAATGTTTGACTCCAGCAGGATTGCACAATTAATCAAAAATTTTCCAAATTGCAACATGGCCAAGTGCACTATACAATTTCAGGAACTTCAATTTTTTGATAAGGTAAAATGTGTCACAACACACCATTATAAATGAAGCATTGTGGAGCTAAAGAGATGTTCCAGTCTACAAATCATATTCATGTACAGCAAAAATGACCACTCTTGAAAATTGCAGCTTATATCACACTTGCAAATCAATGTCAAAATAATGGCAATATGATTTATTTTGCACCGTGCAGAAGACTAGACAGAAGACGCACAAGGCTACATGTGTATGACAACACAACTGTGTTTATTCTGCCTGAAGAAGAAATGAAGGAGAGACAGGTGCTCTTTTCTATTTGTGAAAAGGAACAACAGCTCAGTGGCTTCTACTGGTAATTAAATTCTATAACTAGTGATACCAATTCAGCTAAGTAAAGAGTTACACTGTTTTCAGCATTGCTCCTAAAAATAAAAGAAATGTTTGGAGGGCACTTTGTGATCTTTGCCATTTTGGTTTTGTTATTAAACAGGCTTGTACCCAAAGTTTCTAACTGATATTGAACGTTATGTTGTAGTCCAATATTTAAACATCGCAGTTTGGATTTGTTTTCTCTTCCTGAATTGTAGTGACATTATATTTAATTGGAAAGCAACAGAAGTTCTGTCACGTCACTGCTCATATGATGACTAAGTGACTTTCTCCCTCTTAACACAATAGTTTTGGTCCATGAGTGATTTGTTCTCTGTCGTTTTACAACCAGCTGTTTGGTCAGCTGTTGAATAACTGAAGTGTCCATGGGTGGACTGTCGGCTATACTACAATAATTCTTCAATGCTGAATTCCAATAAAACTATATGATGAGAAAAGATGAAGTGACTGATTTTCTCATCTGTAGACTACTGTCTCCTTTTTGTGGTTTTTGCTCCTAACTGCTGAGGTTACTAGTTCACTGTGAACATTTAATACTTGTCAGTGTGGCAGTTCACTCTTTTACATTTAGGGCGTTTTGTTCATCAATAGGCAACAGTTAAAGCAAAACATATTTTCACACATTTGTTTAATGACTGGAACATTTATTAACACAAGTGTAACTCAGAGTGATAGCTTAATTATTGGAGGAGAATCCACAGAGTGTTGGTGTAAAATGGCTTCAGGTCCGTTAATCAGCATCACTTCCTTCAGGTGTGTTAACCTCAGGTGCGGACAGGAAGGCGCGCGGCCAACAGGTGATTTGACTCATCAGACACGGAGTGAGACAGTGTGGACAGACAGACACACGCTGAGGCCGAGACACAGCCACAAACCTCCAGGAGGGTCAGTGTGTGTGTAATAAGCCGGCCTGATGATGATGCAGTGTGGGGTGACGGGACAGCAGTCACCGGTGGTTGTAAACGGTAAGAGCAGAGGTCTCTGCTTGCGCGCCAAACTTCATTTATGAATCGTACAGTTTAGTTTGCCGTTGATGTGCAGAGGCACACACAAAGTAAAAGTGCTTATTTTTGAGATTTCACAAATCAAGGGGATGCTAAGGTAAATTCGGCGTAATGACTACCAACAAAGCAACGCTTACTGGCGACGGTAGGCGATATTTTGGCAAGGTACACACACGCTGGGTGGCTTCCTCCTTGCTGTTGCCCATCCTGGTGTATCCCGCAAAATAACACAGTTTAACCAGAATGCATTTCGCATGTGTGCCGAATTTAGACGCTCTTCGCACTGATATTAATTTTTGTCTCTGAAAACAATTTTATGAGGTACTTTTCTAGTAAGGTTATAGATTTTAAATTGCGAGATTTTCAGATGGAGTTTGGTGAGAGGTTTTTCTTTGTAATTCCACACAGTTAAGTAGTTCCTGCACTGAAAATGAACAAGTATTCCTGTTAAGAGCTGGTCCTGTAGGGAGCCGTCATGATGTTATAATTTAGTCATCTCAGTCAAGCCTTATGTACAGTGTGAGTTTAGGATAAGTGTCACTTACTTTATTTGTATTTTCAGGGTTTAAACTGGTCACTGAATATTTAATATAAATGGTTGTTTTGCCCTAACATGACGAGGAAAGAAGGAACTGACCGATCAGCTGGTACGATGTGATTTACATGAGGATGCAGGACTGAACACCACACACACACACACACACACACACACACACACACACACACACACACACACACACACACACACAGGAGCTTTATGTGCAGCCATCAGCATGCTGAATACTCACCTTTATGAAACACTACTCTTCTAGTATCATGTGTGGTGTCTCCTGTTCGAGGTGTTCCAGGAAGTGGCTGTAAGTCTCCAGGTGTGCAGGCTCTGTGCAGCCAATTAGAAACGTGCACATGAATTCTGCTTGTGTGTAGTAGCAGAGCAGGAAGCACAAATAATTCTGTGCATGCTCAAACATCATAAGAGCAAAGATTTTGGTACAGAAGCAAAATACTTTCTACTTAATGCCCAATCTGCACAGCTTGATTACACAGCTCTGATCTGCTTCTTGGTGTCCAGTGTGATGTAAGGAACTGATAGTAAGGAACTGATAGTCGTCTATGAAGCCCTTAAAATACACAGAATTCAGCTGCATGTGTCCAAAGGACAGAGGGATGTCGTATGCTGTAAAGCCTGAGGCAAATTGTGATTTGTGATATTGGGCTTTATAAACAAAACTGTTTTATTATTCTCGATTAATCTGCTGATTATATTCTGGAATTTAATCTGCTGATTATATTCTGGAATATAATCAGTTTATTGTCAGTGGTGACTCTCAGTGTGACAGATGGTAGAGATCTCAGTACAGATGATGCCTCTGTGTCTCTGCTGTGTTGGGAGCTGCAGGTGATCCCTGCTGGGTGTTCGTCAGCGTCACAGCTGGAGGCCGGCAGCTTGTTTTGCATCTTATTTCCCTTTTCAAATAAAACGGACAATGCAAACTTGTGTCCTGTTGAAGCCAGTTAGACTGCAGCACATATCATGTTGTGTGGGGCAGAGTTCCTCATTCTGACTCAGACCAGCGTCCAGTTTTACCTGAACTTACACAAACTGCAGTTTAGCACAGAGAGCTGACGTGTTAGAAACGACTGCAGCTCTCCGGTAACTGTGGAGGTAAGTACTGTCTGTCTTTATTACCAAATAGGTTTCTTTTAAGGCTGTAAAGTGCATAATTTCATACATTCAGCTGATGAATCTGATGTCTGTGGGATAGCTAGTAGAATTTTTGAATGGATTTACAGACGAACTACATGAGGTCATAAAGCTCAGAGCCCATGGTGGTCTGACAGGATTTTAAAGGTTTATGCAGAACTTGTTTGATTTTATTTTGCTGCAACAGTTCTTTTGGTAAAACTTCCTGTTATTCTTGCATGATACACCACGACAGGCAAACACAAGGAAGGAACCAGCTGCACCTTTACAATAGTTTGCCTCTCTGTCCAAGTGTTGCTTTGCTGGCTGTCACTCATGGCGAGTGAGATCCTGTTGATTGGTAACACATCAAGGATAAGAAATTTTTTTTCAAGTCTTTCAAAAAAATCACATGATACTTTCTCCACACAACATGTCACTGTCTGCAGAGTGTAGTCAGTGAGACGCACACAGATGAGACCTACGGCTGCTGAGATTGAAATTTGATGTTTGACCAGAAACACTGTTGAATTTAACTTGTCTGAACCTCTGACATGTTTGCAGCACAGAGTTGTTTTTCCTTTTCAGTGCTGAGAGAAGAACAGAAATAAATTAATTGTGCAGTAAGTGGAATTTCCCCTGAATCCGTTGGCCTGTAGAGTCTGTACGATGACATGTAGTTTCCATGTGTTGTCAGTGACTTAAGCTTGGCTGGATATACAGTCAGGTCCATAATTATTTGGACAATGATACAGTTGTCATCATTTTGGCTCTGTACACCACCACAATGGATTTTAAATGAAACAATGAATACCTGCTTAAAGTGCAGACTCTCAGCTTTCATTTAAGGCTTTTTGTCGGAATTACAACCATTTCTTCACACAGTCCCCCAACTTTAAGGGTTCATAAGTATTTGGACAAACTAACATAATCATCAATTAAACAGTCAGTTTTAATACTTGGTTGCAAATCCTTTACAGTCAATGACTGCCTGAAGTGTTGGACACATAGGCATCATCAGATGCTGGGTTTCTTCCCTGGTGATGCTCTGCCAGCCCTTTACTGCAGCCGTCTGCACTTCCTGCTTGTGTTTTGGGTGTTTTGCCCTCAGTTTTGGCTTCAGCAAGAGAAACGCATGCTCAGTTGGATTCAGGTCAGATGATATGACTTGGCCATTGCAGAACATTCCACTTCTTTGCCTTAAAAATGTCTTTGGTTGCTTTTGCAGTATGCTTCAGGTCAATGTCCATCTGCACTGTGAAGCATCGTCCAATGAGTTTTGAAGCATTTGGTTGAATCTGAGCAGATAATGGTGCCCCAAACACTTCAGCTTTCATCCTGCTGCTCTTGTCAGCAGTCACATCATCAATAAATACAAGAGAACCAGTTCCACTGGCAGCCATACATGGCCATGACATAACAGTACCTCCACCATGCTTCACTGATGAGGTGGTGTGCTTTGGATCATGAGCAGTTCCTTCCCTTCTTCCTTCTCTTGTCTTCCCATCATTCTGGTAGTTGATCTTTGTTTTATCTGTCCATAGTATGCTGTTCCACAACTGTACAGGCTTTTTAGATGGTTTTTGACAAACTCTAATCTGGCCTTCCATTTTTAAGGCTAACCAATGGTTTGCATCTTGTGATAAACCCTCTGTATTTATTCTAGTGAAGTCTTGTCTTGCTTACAAGAGCAGCAGGATGAAAGCTGAAGTGTTTGGGGCACCATTATCTGCTCAGATTCAACCAAATGCTTCAAAACTCATTGGACGATGCTTCACAGTGCAGATGGACATTGACCTGAAGCATACTGCAAAAGCAACCAAAGACATTTTTAAGGCAAAGAAGTGGAATGTTCTGCAATGGCCAAGTCATATCATCTGACCTGAATCCAACTGAGCATGCGTTTCTCTTGCTGAAGCCAAAACTGAGGGCAAAACACCCAAAACACAAGCAGGAAGTGCAGACGGCTGCAGTAAAGGGCTGGCAGAGCATCACCAGGGAAGAAACCCAGCATCTGATGATGCCTATGTGTCCAACACTTCAGGCAGTCATTGACTGTAAAGGATTTGCAACCAAGTATTAAAACTGACTGTTTAATTGATGATTATGTTAGTTTGTCCAAATACTTATGAGCCCTTAAAGTCGGGGGACTGTGTGAAGAAATGGTTGTAATTCCTACACGGTTCATACTACATTTTTGAAAAAAGCCTTAAATGAAAGCTGAGAGTCTGCACTTTAAGCAGGTATTCATTGTTTCATTTAAAACCCATTGTGGTGGTGTACAGAGCCAAAATGACGACAACTGTATCATTGTCCAAATAATTATGGACCTGACTGTATATGCTGTATTGTTATCATGGATGGGGCTGAGGTCAGGACTCTGTGCAGACCAGTCAAACCATTTCCTTATTGACCCAATCTCCAGATTAAAGTTAAACGAGCGATTTTGAACATTTGTGCAGTATTTTGTGACAGAAATGTCGAAACTATGTTATCACAACATCGTGGTTGAGGTTAGGCACAAAAACATTTGGAGGCGGCTGTGACTCAGAGGTAGAGGGCGGCGTCCACTAATGGTGGCTGTTCCATCAGTGTGTGAGTGAGTAGCAGGTGGCATCATGTACGGTAGCCTCAGCCATCGGTGTGTGAACAGGTGATCGTCACATGTAGTGTAAAAGCATTTTGGTGGTCGGAGGACTAACAAAGCGCTTTCCAAGTGCAGTCCATTTGGTTACGACTAAGAAAAGAGCATGTTTGTGCCACAGTCACACTGGACATGCCGCTGACACCTCTCCTATTTGTTGGTTTGGCAGCCATCTGGCCTCGATCCCACACCATCCTCTAAACCTCCTGATGACAAACTCAGCTCATATACATGTGATCAGCACGATGTCACTTTCTGAACATAGATGTGACACGTATGAAATGTATAAATGTAACATATCTGTGGTTTGCAGGAAGTCAGCAACATTGTCTTCTGGCGACTGGGCTGGTTTTATGGAGCTGGATTTGTGCACGGGGACATTTGTGATGTTAAAACAGGAAAGAGACAGAGTGTTAAACAGTACCACGTTTTAGAAGATCATGATACGCTGCAGCGTTAGAATTTAACTTCATTGGAGGCAGGAGTTTGAGACCAACTCAGAAAAAACAGACGGGGGTGTCCACATACTTTTGGCCTTGTATTATTTTTAATTGACTCTGTAAGCAGATTAAATCCTGTTGAGTTGCAGAGTGTTGATGATGTCGTTTCATTTGCAGATTAAGTGTTGATTTGAAGACTGAGGCTACTCCACGAGCACCTTCATCATTTCCTCCTCATCCTCCATGTGACTGTCTCCCTGCTGACCGCTGAAGGCTCAGCTCCCTCCATCTGATCACCTCCGTGGAGCTCCACCGTCGTTGTCTCTACCTTAACCCCTCCTCCATCCATCCGTCATGAATCCCTACAGAGACACAACACCACATTCACCTTCTGACCCTTCTGATATTTCCCATCATCCCCCTCTGTCAGCAGCGTCACCTCCAGTCATTCAGACAGGTCAGAGCTCTCTGAGAGTCATTGGCTATAACTCTCCTCACCATCAGGCCTCATCAGACCATGATGAAGGTCAAAACCTGGTCCCATCGCCAAAGTCAGACCGCTCCTCTTCGCCGCTTCCAGCTTCAGATTCAGGCTCCAGCCTCAGTCCCCGGCCTCACTCCGGCCTGTTTTCAATCTCATTTCCATCTCGAAGTCCATCTGCTGTCTCTGCTCACACACTGAACCCTTACCCTCCCCCCGCCCCTTCACCTGCCCCTCCCCCCGCCCCTTCATCCACCCCTCCCCCGGCCCCTTCCCCCGCCACTCCCCCCTCCTGCCAGGTCTCCATCATCATCCCGTCCCCAGACCTCCAACCGTCTCCCCTCCCATCTCTGTGCTCTGAGGACACCGGCCCAGACCTGGAGTGCTCCATCTGCTTCAGCCAGTTCAACAACATCTTCCGCTGTCCCAAGATGCTTCATTGCAAGCACACCTTCTGCCTGGAGTGCCTGGCACGCATCAACGTCAAGTCAGCCGAGCCCAACACCATCCAGTGCCCGCTGTGCCGCGGCCTCACGCCTCTGCCCACCCTCGGCCTTCCTAAACTGGCCACGAACTCAGACATGTTGTCGTACCTGCCGGCCGCCATGCAGAGAGTCTACAGCATCCGCTTCCAGCGCAGCAAAGGGAAGCTGCAGGTCAAAAGGTATCACCACCCTTAGCTCTTTAACAGTTTTAAAACATGATTCATATTCTTCTGTTTTTATTAATGAGTGAGTAACTTTTCTGAGGCTCAGGGTTCTTGGACTGTTCTACATAATACTGAAACTAAATTTAGTATTTAATGAAGGTTTTCTTTTCGGTCACGTCCCCTTCCTTAAATATATTTGGGGATGTGGGTAACAAAACAAGTGCAGCTGAATGTCATTTTATTAAAATATTATCACCAAAAGACAAACTAAGGCTCTGCAGCCACTGAACATGGACCTGACAGGCACATTTTCACATCCTCATTGTTTGCTGATCATCATCATATATTTTACTGTGTAAATAAACTTTGACCTAAATATTAATTGCCTTGCTCGCTTCAGAGAGCTGTTTGTTTGTTCAGTTCCGTCGGGGAACTTCCCCTCAGTCAGGTCTTTTCTGTCCGAGATTCACCACAGTGAGGGGGTGATATCGAACAACTATGATGTGCACCTTTTACGGTGTCTGTGGACAAGAATAAAAACAAGTGATGTTTAGGAGTTAAAAAGTCTCCGGATAGGTGTTGTTACAGAAATTAAAAAGGTGATTGAAAGAAGTCTTTTTTTTAAAATAAACAATCTTCCAGTGATTTCATCAGTTCCTCAGATTCACACTGATGCTCAGTTTATCTTTTGGAGTTTAACCTCTCTAACTCCTCCCCTCCTCTGTTAAATGGTATCTCCCAGGCACACTATGTCATCAAACCATGTGATGTTTGGTATTGCCGGATTCAGGAAGCTCTCGACTTTTCAAAAATAAAATCGTTTTTCTTTTATTTATTATGTATTTTGCACCAGAGCAGCCTAAACACACACAGTCCAAAATCGCGATGAGTGGTGACAAGTCATGTCATGCTGTTTTTCGAGGGGAAAAGTTAAAGGATTACTCGCGATCTTATGTGGAGCTGTTAGCGGGGACTTAGCTGGTTTATAAAAGGTAAGAGTCTCACTTGATCATAACTTTCACGTTTCATATGGCTTTATTTTGTGATATTTTATGGTGTTTCTGTGTCATAAACAACATCAGCTATCATAATCACACCTGATTTCAATAAGGTACAATGTTTGAAGCTGGCTGAGTGTTGTTTGATCACTGATAGTACTGTTTTGAAGCCGAGTGGCCGCTCTTGTCATGTGGAGCTCCGCCTGGATCTTTTCATGGAAAAAACACTGTAGAATGGTCATACTTTGAGCAGTCTTCTTCAAATTTGAAACAAGTGTTCATTGATAGTGTGCCTACAGCCCCACAGTGTCATTTACCTGCTCAGATGAAGCCACAGACAGTTATTCATCCTGAAAAACATTTTCTATTTTATTTTAGGCAAAATCTTCAATTTTTTACTGACTTCAGAGGCCCATTACTCTGTCTCTGTATCACCTAGAGTGTTTCTGACACTTTCACAAGAAACTTCAGGGAGTTTTCTTTGTGGCAAGACTTCATGCATGCATGTAGTCAGAGCGGTTCAGACGCTACAATCATTTTAATTTGGGTATGTTATTTTAGGTGTTTTTGCTACAAAATGGGGGTGGAGTGCAAGATTAAAAGAGGCAGAAATTTTAAGACTTTTGCAAAACAGTTACCCTGGCATCACTAGATCAAGTTAGTCTGGAACCTGAAAGGTCATTTTTGATTTTCAAGGGGTGTTCTTAGCAGCTGTAGACCAAAATGCCCCTGGACACAACTGGATAGACTTACAACCAATCAGAGCACTGGAATGTGGTTTTTCACTGTGCCCCATCTTTTTGGCAACTAGCAGGGCCAGTTGGTAAATTAAACTTTTACCAAATCCTGTCTGAAGTACGGCAAACGCATCTTTCTCATCAACAAAAGCTTTAAAGAGAGAATCTGACATTTTTCAACCTGCTCTGTGTCACTGCAGTGTGCACAGGTGAACAGTGGTTGGTTCCCCTCCATGTTGCCAGCACCCGGAGCCTCCCACTCGTCCTCCGGTGGGATCTGCTGGGTGCACCGAGGGAGGTTGAGCGCTTTTGATTTGCATGTACTGCCCACATTGCAATGAGACAGAGATGGTTGAAAATCTGCGGATTTCCCCTTTAAGGGACACTTACCCTATTTTCCACCAGCTTTGTATCATAACACTGTGGATGGAATGTGTAAATTAAGTGTGGTAAATTCCCCTCCTTCTAACCAGTGTCCAGATCTCCCTGCTCTCTGCCCAGCAAGACCCCGCTGGATGACGCAAAACAAGTCATCCAGCAGAATTTCACTGGCTCCCAGGCTGTTGCTCAAACTCCAAGCTGTATGTCTGCATTTTTAAATAGAGTATGGAAGCAGCTCAAGAGAAAGACCAACCCTTTTTCTTTTTCTGTCTCTTAAACTGAGCTCGAAATCCAATCAAACCTAAAACTCAGCAGCTGATTGAATGTAGTTTAAGGTTATGTTTCTGTGCTGCTTGTTTCTCTCCTCAGATGTATCAGAAACATGTTTTAGCCTTCTGTTTAACTGAAATATGATATTGTTATCAGACAAACAGCAGGAGTGTTTACTGGTCCAGTGCGACGCAGTGCATTCTGGTAGTTGTAGGTTTTCTATCTTGTGCAAACGCAAACATCACAGCCCTGTCCCTCGGTGTCTCAGGTCACATTGTACCTATTTATTTATTTATTTATTTATTTATTTATTTATTTAGTATTTGCATCTTTCTGCTGCACAGATGTCTAGTTTTATAAAAAAAAAGACCATCTTTCCAGCAGTGAAATACTTCTTTTGTTGTTTGTTCTTTAAGAGAAAATACACTGTACAGTTATTTTAATACTGTTGCGACGGCTGATTCACGTCAGTGTTCCACACCAGCGGCAGCCATCTTGGTTGTTTACAAAAATGCTTCAGCGGCGCTCCTCTGTCATCATCGTGTCAAAGACGCCACACATTAGATGAACTGTTGTGATTGGCCAGACGCATCAGCCAGAGCAAATAAAACTTGAAAATGTCTTCTGAAATAAATAAAACGATCTTAGAAATAAAAAGATGGATTTTATAAATAAGGCTTAACATTCAGTTTCATCTGATCAATAATGTTTCTCGTTCAGCTCATCTCAAGGTCATCGGCGGTGGGGTCAGAGGTCGCTGACATCTCTTCGGTCTGTGAACCGCTCTCTGGATGTGGGGCTTCCCAGCCCGCCGGTCACGGGTCCCAGTGAGGCCAGCGGCATGGGCGGAGCTCTGTTCAGACTGACGGGCCGGCCGGCGTGCCGAGCCTTCCTCCTGACGTCCGTGGTGATGATGATGGTGCTACTGACGGGCATCATCATCTTCCTCCTCACCTTCAATGACAAGGGCAGTGAGTGACATCACGTTACATCACATCCTGTTTTCTTGATTATATTTCTGTGGAGGGAAAATGCACAAAAAACTCATTGAACAGTAAAATTTAATCTGAGTCCAGCTAATGAGCAACATCTGTCCCACTGCTGAGGTTAGAGGATGAAAACTGAGCCATCAAGTCACAGAGAGATCAGGACTCACACCTGAGCCGAGGACGTGAGGAGCAGTGGACTTTAATCTGCTTCATAACGTTGAACTTGTGCCAGAGTTTCAAATAATCTCACAGATGTCTGAATCTAAGTCAGCAGCTGAGGTGGGAAGGTGTCTGTGACTCTGAGAAGCAGTGGACTTTAATCTGCTTCACACTTCTGCCAAAAGCTTTAAATGATCAGCGAGCTGTAGCCAGACGAGTCACAAAATGTCGGTCAGGTAACAGCAGATGTGTGACAGCTCTGGAAACTGAGAAGCCGTGGACGTTAATCTTCTCACAGCACTTAAAGCTTTGCCAAAAGCTCCACTCACCTCAAGCTTTGGGAAAATGTGCACATTTATCACTTTTAATGTCGTGAATTTCATGTTGCCAAAGGGCCGTCCGGCAATACAAGATGGCTGATCTAAAGGTCATTTGATAGCAGACAAGATAAGTTTGTAATAAGACAATAAAACAATCGACTGACAGCAGGTTTATTATAACTCATGTACAACAGCTCAAAGTCTCTGGTGGCTCCAGCTGCAAATAACAGCCCTAAACAAACATCAAATATTTGATTCCAGGGGCTGAAACTTTGGGACATAAAACATAATGTATAAAAAAATAACATGACACAAACCTGTCACTACGTGGCTCCCTCTTCTTCATACTTTGAGCACTTTAAAAACACAGCGACTGAATGTTACATGTTTGATGTTTCTGTGTGTTTGTTGTCTTTTTGTGGACATGACGGTGTGTTTCCTGTCGGAGCTGCAGCTCCGCTCCTCGCTCTTAATAACCAAATTCTCTAAACAGAAGTCATGCAAATAGACCCGTGTTCCTGTTAGTCTGACGCAGAGAGCAGAGGATTTTCATACAAATGTTAATACGTGACGGTGGCTGGAACAACTGAACCTTGAGACAGATGGAGAGTGTAAAGGGTTAGTTCACCCACATTACAAAAATACATTTGCCAAAGGGATAGTTTGTATGTTTAGAGGCGGGGTTTTATGAGGCACTTATTCTGTCACACACTGTAGATGGCATCGGCACGCCCCCAGTTCAAAGAGGCAGGCTGGAGTACCACCACAGAAGCTAAGGAATGTACCGCTGCAGATGGATATGGCAGCAAAATGGATTCTAGCCACCTACAAACAAAAACACACAAAGATCTATGTGATTACCTGTGCACCATATTAAGGATATTTTCACCACTTTACCTTAATGTCAGACAACGACTTCCAACAAGGAACTGAAGCCATTGTATCGCTCTCGTCAAAGCCAGACTCTGCCGCTGAGTGGTTATTTTATTAGTGTTAATGTGTGACTTCAGTGTTTTTAAAGGCATAGTTTAGATTCACCAAAGTCTCACAACAGCACAAACTAACTGATCACAGCAGCGTTAGACCAGCATCCCTCATCCCGAGCTGTCTCGTGTTTCCGCTTCGTCAGTGGCCTCTCACGTCTACACATTACACGCTAGGTATCCTCCTGCATCTGCTGTTGAGGTTACGGGACGCCACAACCAGCGCCGGGATGTCACCAAATGCACATGGTTAGATTAAGAAAAAAACATCATGGTTTGGCTTTTCAACAACACAGGAAGCGAACATCCATCCACAACCCCTCATATCCTCCCATCCGTCCTTACCAGCAGCGTTTCAACCTGACACCATCGAGTGGCGAATCATAAATGCGCAACGTTACGTCTGGCCGCGTTACAAACTGACGCTCCCTGCTGGTGTATTATACCACCAGGAAGGGTGGCTTTTGGCGTCTGGTGTCTGATGCTAAAACCACTGACAAGGCGGCAGTACTTGATGACTTTGGAATGACGAGGGTAGACCAGTGTGTTAAATCACTGGAGTGTAATGGAGTCTGGAGGCTTTGACATGAGCAAAGATGAGGAACTGAAGCTGTTTACAAAAGCAGCTGTCTGACATGAAGGTATAGTGTTGAAAACATTCTAATATACCGCACACTTTAACTGATATTTCTAGGTGGCTAAAATATGTTGTGCTACTGCCCTCGTCCACAGCAGTACATTACTAAGCTTCCATACTGGTGCCTGCTTCTCCAAACTGGGGGCGTGCAGACAGCATCTACTGTAGGTACACTGACTATGAGTACGTCATATAACCCCACTTCAAAACATCCAGACTATCCCTTTAACCTCTAGAGACAGCTCTACAAGCAGGTAGTTTTTGGTTTTATTCGACCACGTCTGTAGATTTCAGCCTGACACAGTGAAGGTGAATAGATTCTGTTCTTTTAAATGTCATTTTTCAGGACTGCGTCACAACAAAGTAAATCCCATTTAGAATCCATTTTATGGTGAAAAGACAGAAATCTGAAAATGTGGAGGAATAAAACCAAAACTGGATCGATGAGTTCACTCTGAAGGCGCAAAAACGTGTCTGTCTGAGGCCGTCGTGCACCTTAAATTAACTCTTGAGCCTTCCAGCTGATCTGTGACACCCTGCAGGAGGCGGGGACGGTCCCTCTGTCTGATCCAGTCGTTCAATCAGAAACCTGATCAGATAGTTTTAACTGATCGATCAACAGATCACAGACACATTTCACATAACACAATCATGAATTTATTCTTGGGCTCAGCTGAAAACTGCACAAGGAAAACTTCTTCCACAAATGCTTTGACTTGCAAATCAAACAAGCCAAAAAAGCAACCATTAAAATATGTATCATAAAGGTTATTCACAGATATTTCCATGATGGTTTAGACTGAGTCTGAGAGGGAAAATACATTTTAACCCAATGTTTCCTTGTTTTGTATGTGGTGTGTGTTTAGGCTCTGACCTGTTTTACTGTGCAATGTGAAATGAAATAATTTTATATATTTATACCACTGTTTTAGCAAAGCTTGCACTATCACCGTGTTTGCCTCATGTTGAACTTGAATAAATTCCTTTTTGAATCCCAGTTTGTCTTTTTTTTATGAAGCAAAAGAAACTTTTCAGAGTTGAACTTATTTCTTGAACGGGCAAAATCTGGAGTCTAAGCTTAAATAAATATGCACATTGTTGTTAAGGTATCTTAAACTGTATTTTAAATTCTGTACACAGTAGATAAAGTTCTGCAGGTTGGTAAATGTGGAGCTTATGTTCAGTCCAGCAGAGTTTTAGAGTTTAAAATTAATCAGGAGAGAAAATCAGAGAAAATGTGTTAAGATTTTTTAAACTATAATTTACTACGACTAACGTTTTGCAGCTCACTGCTGGTGCTGACAGGACTCATCAATGAACAGTCTCTGGTGTTGAGTGTGCCAAAGTCTCCCTCTGCTGGTGGAGAACACACCTGTGCAGTGTTTACTGACACTGAAGGCTTTTTCACAGCAGACACTTGCCATGTATCAGCAGGAGCAGCAGGTGTAAAAAATAAAATGATTGCTTAATTCCACTCAGCTGCTTAGAGTGCAGGTTCAGTAACACCTGAGTTCCTACAGCAGGTCAAAATGTGTGCTGTGAGAAAAGCCTCTGATGCATCAGTTTGGTTTATATGGTCAAAATCACACATGTGCTTCACAGGTTTTACAATGTGCACAACATATAACAGTTTATTCTGAGAGCCTCGATTCAGACGAGAGAAACTGACTTAAAAACATTTTCACTGAGAAGACGAGAAGAAACCTCACAGAGAGCAACAGGTGTGCTGTAAATGGGGCGACCTCTGGTTCACCCGGGTCCTGCTGCGTCCTGCTCCCCTTTCTCTCCCACCTCTCCTGTCCATCTACAGCTGTCCTGTCAATAAAGTTATCCAGTTAAGGCTCATGTACCTTCATGTCCATGTGTGGCCTGACTGTTTGAATGCTCACACTGTAATGCACTCTGCTGCTGACTCTGACATTTTTGTCTTGGTTTACTTTTATTATGAATATGGGCTACAGGTGTGGCATGTCACATGACGGGCTCGGGGAGCACTTTGGGTATTAAAGATGGCAACTTTCTGTCATGTATCAGAAGTCTGAGGAAGAGCTGTGTGGCTCTAAACGTCACTCTGCATTAAAATCACTCTGAAAGGGAGCTGCTTGTCTTTTACTTTGCCAGACTTTTCTTTGGTCCAGCACCCACTCCACTGGACACTGAGATATGTGTGTGTCTTTTACACTGTTTTTATATCAGTGAAACTAAAAATAATTGTAAAAAAAGTGTTGTAAATGTCAACTGGAGTGGAAAAAAATAACAATATTGTGTAAATTAAAAAGCAAAAATGATCAGAAAAGTGTTGAGTATCACAGATATTAGGATTCTCTACAAAATGTGGTGTTCGTCAAAACTAAGAACCAATCAGCTCTTCAGTCAGGTGTTTCCCATCATGCCCTGGGTCCTGCACTCAGTGGACAGCAGCTGCAGTGCCTGGCTTTAAAAGCTGCAGCCGCCTCAGTCTTGTGAGGTTATTGTTGCCCACCTGTGCATGACGTCAGAGCAAGTCGAGATTAAGTCAGACACAAATCTAAACACTGTGTGGCGATTGGCGGTGTTGAGTACTGTGCCAGCCTGTCTCATCCTGAACGAGCCTGCTGTCTTTGCTTCAACCAAATCTTCTGAGATCCTTTTTGTTGTGTTGCACCTGCAGGCAGCCAGCAGGTGGAGCTGCAGCATCAACAACGACAGAGTAGTTTGTACAAAACCACAGCCTCTCCTGGCTTGTTGCTCAGATCTGCAGACACACTCCTTTACTCCCCACACATCCTGTATGACACAGTGTGGGTGTGTGTGTGTGTGTGTGTGTTAATAGGTTGTATAATGACAGTGGATACACCTTAACACACTGAGCACTTAAACAAACCTGTTTCCATGGAGACCAGCCATGTTAAGAGGTCACATCCTGCACGTCTTCATCCTGCAGTCGGTCATGTGACTTCTGCCGCCTTCAAACACAGAACATAAACAGAGTATCTCCACCCATAGTAACAGTCCTGCTGCCTCTCAGCTGTCCTTCTCCACCCTGAGCAGTACAACACAGCCGGGTGTGGTCACGGGTCAAACTGACCACACCCACCGGCCGCAACAATCAAACATCACAAAGGGCTGTGGACACAGGTGGAGACGATGTAAACCAGCAGAGGTAGAGGAGGGACGACAGCATCAGTCCATTCAGAGAGTGTCCCAAAATGACAAAGAGACGGCGCCCAAGCACCCAGGACACACTCCTGTGTCGCTCTGCAGGGCGTGGACAAACAACACACCTTGTCATTAAAGGTCGAGGCAAACTTTCAACTACCTGACAGACGTGACATGAAGGAGCATCAGGCTCAACAGCTGTTGATAACTGATGCAGCATCTGGGACGCTTCATGACGTCTGAGCAGAGTGTCCTTCAGCTGTAACCTGGAGAAGAGAAACAGGAGCCATGTTTGATTTCAGTGACCCAGAAACCCTTTGACTCTCGCCCTCAGGTCAGGAGCAGTCAGTGAATCCCATCTGTCCGAGTGATGTCACCTTCTGCACACACACTGTATGTCTGCTGCCCACCACACACTAATGCCTGACTCAGCTTGCTCTTTTTTGATTTTCCATTAGCAAAAGTTGTGGACAGCACCTGGTGCTTTTTTGGTACCACCTTGTGGAGATTGGTCGGAGAGAATCATGGCTTGCACAGGTCATCCTGCACAAACCAACATTTTAAACAGCCAAACTGCCCTCAAAAGCAACTGTCACTTTTTAATTTACATGACCAAGATTTTAAAGAATGGCAGCCTGCACAACCAAGCCGTGGTCAGTTATCAAAGTGCATATGTTCCCTTTTTAGTGTCTGATGAGAGGATCCAGTAGATCTCTCTGGTGATGTCACAGCAGTGTCACACAGCGTTCCTGTTTACAGTGACGGGATACTTCTAAACGAAATCAAGAAAATTTCCTGGTAGCAATAGTGAGTTGACAGACAGAGACATCCTGATCAGATGAACCACCTCAACTGACCCCTTTCAACATGAAGGAGCAGCGGCTCTACTCCGAGCTCCCTCCAGATGTCTGACTCCTCCCCCTATCTCTAAGGCTGAGCCCAGACACCCTACAGAGGAAACTCATTTCAGACGCCTGTATCTGTGATCTCATTCTTTCAGTCGCTACCCAGAGCTCATGACCATAGGTGAGGGTTGGGACCAGTAAATTGGAAGCTTTGCCTTCTTGCTCAGCTCCCTCTTCACCACGACGGTTCTGTGCAGCGCCCACATCACTGCAGATGCTGCACCAAACCGCCGATCCATCTCACGCTCATGAGCAAGACCCTGAGATACTTGAACTCCTTGAACGTGGGGAAGTAACTCTCTCCCAACCCAGAGGAAACAATCCACCAGTTTCCAGCAGAGAACCATGGCCTCAGATTTGGAGGTGCTGACTCTCATCCTGATCGCTTCACACTTGGCTGCAAACCGCCTCAGGTCATGCTGGAGGTCAGGGTGTGATGGAGCCAACAGAATCAGATCATGTGCAAAAAGCAGAGATGCAATTCTGAGGTCATCAAGCCGGACCCCTCTTCACCCCCGGCTGCACCTTGAGATCCTGTCCATGAAAATCACAAACAGAATCGTTGGCAAGGGAGAACCCCGGCTGAGGCCAACACCAACTGAGATCGTGTTTGACTTTGTGCCAAGTATGCAGGCACAGCTCTCACTTTGGTCATGGCATCTGTGTAATATGATAAACCTGTTCTTGTTGATCCTGCAGATCACTGGATGTTTTCTTTACTCGCGGGAACAACCTGAGTGGAGATGAATTGCTTCTGTCAGTGAGAGAGGACAGAGGGTTTCCTTAGTTCAGTGACCTCATTCAACATTCAGAACAATTTCATGTGTCTGTGCAGGACACACACACACACACACACACACACACACTCTGTGTTTGTGTGATAGAGGCCTGTTGTTGAAACAGGAGAGAACATCCACATTGTCTCATAATGTCATTTTCCCAGGATTCCCTTCTCTGCGTGGGCACGTATGAAACCAGACAAACAGTGTTAGTGACGGTCAGTTAGCCCGATCAGCTGATCGGAGGTCCACAAAGGAGAGAGAGAACTGCTCCTGTTACGCCTTCACACGGCTGTTTTTGTCAGGTTTGTATTCTGTGTAACGCTGAGGAATCAGAGATCAGACATTAACAACATCCAAACTTCCTGCATCAAACAGCAACTGAAACCTGGATCAAGTCTTTCTGCTATTTAACATTTTATATTCTTGACAAAATAAGCAACAATCAAAGTTACGAAAAGCATCTTTAGGTGTTGTTTATGAAGGGGAGACACTGCAGGTGGAAGCTGTTTTTCATGCATTACTCAAGTTTGAGATTTTGGGCTCTTTTGCTGCCACAACAACTCAGCTTTATCTATACAGCACCTCTCATACAAACATGCAGCTCAAAGTGCCTCACATGGCAAACTGGAATAACACAGACACAGTTTGAAGGATAACACAAACAACTATACATGAAGCTATGCAAGACTAGAAAATGATAAGACAATAAGATATTTAAAAAGCAACCAATGAAAGCATAAGCGAGTATGCTGCATCTGTCTGGGTCTAAAAAGCTCTGCCTTTAGCGACGTGCCGAAGATGAGAAAAGGATGTTTTGATGACTTGTTAAAATGAGAAGTAAAACTGAAACTGGAGTCTACGGCTCCGTTCACACAGAAAGTGTTTTAGCAGCTGGAGGCGGATTTTTGTAACAGTTTTTAATAGAATGAAACTGTTTGCTTTCTGTTTCTGCTCTCTAGGCACCTGGTGTTTTTGCCTGAGCGCTCTGGACTTCTGGATTTGAAATAACTTCAGTTCAGAGCGGAAAAGCGCCTCACATCATCTCCGCTTTTTACCCATTGTCCAGTGGGATGATTTGAGAGGTGGGCTTTCTGTGGTGGTCACAGCAACAAGTTTACAGTTTGTAAACAAAGGAGGAGAAACTGGTTCAGCACGACCAACTGACTCCCTGTGGCTAGTATTCATTTTGTTATGCTAGGCCTGACGATAGACAGCAGGTTGTCAAACTGCCCCTGAGTCGTCCTAAAATATGCCTGTAAACGTCCATGATGGAGGAGAAGCTCCTGGACCAACTGGTGGTACTCCCCATGATCCAGCCTCTTTTTTAGGGTCTCATGTACCCACACAGATCTCTGTTTATCTGCTGACAGCCTCTCACCCTCAACCAGAGCTACATACAGCACCCTCTGCCTCAACATGGCAGCAGCTACACACTGATTACTGGGGGATACATACAAATCAATAAAGTAAAAAAAAACTAGATTGATTACACAGGAAGGTCAGGGTAAGGAGGTGGTGGGGTGGTTGCCTGGCAACAATAAAAAGGCGCAACAAGTGTCCAGTGGCAGTGCACCTCACGTCTGTGTGATCTGGGCCTTAAGCCATCTTATTTCATTTAAACTAATGGAAGGAAAAACTTTTAGTTCAGATCTCTGTTCTGGAAATATAAGGCAAAAGTGCACATTTAATCAGATAATGCATGGTTTACAAATTGAATCATATTATGTCAGAACACCTGTGATACAATAGATAATTATCTTAACGGAAGTCATCATCTGGGGACGTGACATCTGTTCGTTAGAAGTTGTTCACTTCCTGTCCTTCCTGCTGTCATCCGTCTGCTCTTCACAAGGTTCTGACCTCATTTCAGATGAAATGTTAAATACACAGTGCTATGAAATGTTAGTTATCAGCTGCAGTAGCAGACTTCCTGTGACGTGATGACGGCCTGTTTTTACAGCAGAGTGACTCTAAGAAACTAAATATCTGACCTCAGCTGATTTTGTGGATTTTCTGCAGAAATAAAAGGTAAAATCCACAAATGTATCAGAGCCTCATGACTCCATCTGTGTGTGTGTGTGTGTGTGTGTGTGTGTGTGTGTGTGTGTGTGTGAGTCAGCTGGTTGTTCCAGGATGGCATCAACTTCCTGTTCCACCAACAAACACACTCTGCTGTGATTTCCAGCACAGTGCAGTCACACTGACCGCTCCACCTGCTCAGAGTCACTCAGTGTGTCTCACAGTCAGAGCTGATGCTGTTTGAATGAAATGAATAAGAATGAAACTCTCATCCTTCATGACAGGATCCTTTTATCCAAACTCTGTGCTCAAAACACAACGAGGAGGGAGTGACTAAATATAACTGCTGATTTCTCTTAAAACAAAAATCCGGTGTCTTTATGTTCATTTCAAAAAGCTGAAAACAAACTTCTATTTTAAGGCTGAATTTGAGCTAAAACCCTTTTGTTAAAGACACAAATGAGCAGTGCATGAGTTCAGAGAGTCTCGTCCTTCTGTCCGTCTGTGCGGAGTGGATTACCTGCAGAGACGCAGATGAGCTTGAAGTCAATGAGAGTCCCGTCAGCTGTGGGTCAGGCGGAGTTGAGCTCCATCATGTCTCTGGTATCTTCTGTCTGCTCTGATCTCTGCCTCTGCGCTCTGTGAGGCTCATCAATTTTTAAACAGTGGCTACTGTTCAAAGTAAGCAGGTCGATGTGGCTGAGCAGTCTGACCTTTGACCTCGGCTTGGCTCAACTTCCTGTAAACACTGTGGAATTTATCGGTTTTATTTGTTTGGTGTGCCCCTGATCTGTCTGCCAATGATCAAACAGACAAAAACTTTTAAAATGCATGTAATACATCAGATAGTTTCAACTTATAGTTTAAAATGAAATAAAATGATTCTACAACTGTTTTGGCATCCAATAATTGTTATGCAATTTATTAATATTCTGTCTCAGATGTGACAAATATTCTGTTTTCTTTTTTTAAAGACTTTAAATTAAATGTTTTGGGCTGGTGTTTGGACAAAATAAGACCATTGAGCAGGTGCGACTGAGCTCTTGGAAGTCGTGATGGCCATCCTTTATTATTTCTGATACCTTACAGACTGAAACGTTCATCGATGAACTGGAAACAGTCAACTGAATAATAAAAGTTATAAATGTTACTTTTCAGTCTGTAAATGCTCAGAACAGCAATTATCCACAAGTCTACACAAACAGATCAGCAGTCAGAACCAAGGCAGGATCAAAGTGACTAAAATGTTTATTTTGAAGTGGAGCAGTGGGATGAAAAACATGTGTCGAACTTCCTGTCGACTGGACTTCAGCAGTCTGCAGAGGTGGAGGCGTCTGGATCACAGCTGGATGTCCTCTGACTGCAGAGCTTCCTGATGGACGAGCAGAGCAACAGTAACTACTGAAGAGATCGTCCAACAAAACTACACAAGAAAATATTAAACAGCGTTCATTTTGTTGAGGAAAACTCTGATGACAATTTTTGTCCGCAACCTTTTTTACATGACGACAACGAGACAACGAAAAATATATCTTGATAATAAACATTAAGATATGTTTAATATTCATCGATGAGACGAGACGTGATGAAAATGTTAGTGGTGGATTATGGGATATTGAAAGTCAAGAACAGCTGTGCTTGTAATTATCTTCAAATGCCACATGAGCGACAGGCTGGTAAACTCCAGTAAATAGTCTGCACCCAGACGTTTCAGTGTTTGTAAGTTGACTATATATTTATTATTGTAGATCATTATCCATCTTTGGATTTTCTCCCAAAATGAGGCAACACTGGCACAGCAACATCACATTAGATGACCCTGACTGATTCCTCTTCATCACTGCAAAACAGACACATTTGTTCCAGGCTCCAAATAGATCTATATGATCTGTAGTTGTATGATGTGTATAGATCCATCCTGGGTAGTGTTATAGATGATATTAAAGGCATCTTTCCCTGGAATTATTATATGTGCAGTCTTCCCACTTACTGTTAGCAAACACTTGTTTATTCAGACATCACTCCTGCATTAACTCTCCATTCAGTTCTGGTTTCCATCTCCACAAACTCCTTGGAAAAACTTCCGGCTCTAAATGCTCCATTTTATTCACAAGAAAAAAGTTGTCTTTTTTTGGTCTAATTTTGTCTGCTGTCTCTTGAGCCAAGAGACGACATAAAATTCTGAGAGTCGACACCTTTCACACTCAAACTATCAAGAAATATCTGAGCTGAAACAAGAGATTTTCTAAAGGCGACGTTAAAGTTGGTGAGTTGGTCCTTATTCAGCGTCACACAGTGACATGAATCTGTCTCTCCTCCTGTATGAAGTCTAAACACTGGAAACACGTCCACTGTGAGAAGGGCTGCTTTTTTACCCATCATACAGTGTGCACGCCTTCTGTATGAGGACAATGAATCCGTATGACAGCAGATCAGGCAGAGGATGAGTGTAGTTTCTGGATGCAGACTGAAAACACACTTTTGCATAGGGCTGGGCGATATGGCAAAAAATGTTATCACGATATATTTTTTCATATTGATCGATCTCGATTTTTATCACGATATGTAGTTTTTGCTGATTCTGCCAGCTCGGGGAGCATCCTGACTGGAGCTTGAAGAAACAAGAGATTCATTGAAACTTAACAATAAAAGTTTAATAACATAAAACACTAAATAATATGCTTTTCCAATATTGAGAACAAAATGTTTTTACAGGGTATATGCAGGTATCCTGAGGTTAATTTCAATACTTTTTAAGACTTTTTTAAAGACCTTCCAAAAAAACCTTAAGACCTCATCGCCACTGCAACGCATCTTTAACTTACTAAACAGTTGTAGTTTGCAATTAAATCTATGGAGCACAAATATACAGCAGAACTCACATAAGATGAGAAGGAATAAAGCTTGAAAGAATAAATTAAACCAAAGGCAGCTTTATTAAAATACACCTTAGGTCATAACCAGTAACACAGCACCATTTACGGTTGATTTTTCGCCTTTAGCCATATGTAAACTCAAAGAACGAGAAATAATGTCAAATAAAAGCTTTAACTTATTGAAACACTGTATATAAACTTACCGCTTTGAATGCTTCTCATATGGGGTAATGGCTGCAAAACACGACTGGATACACTGTTGTTTTGCTAGCTGCCGCTAGCGACGCTAACAGCAGATGAAGGGGTCTTGCTAGGCTGTGTGTGTGGAGTCGGGGCAACTTGAGGCCACATAGTTAGACTCTCTGTGTGGTCACTGGGATGGTGCCGTGTCAGGTGATTGAAAAGGTTTGTGGTGTTTCCCGACATGGTTGGTACCAACCGCCGGCATATTTTGCAGACTGGCTTCATCTGCTCCTCATCACTTTTGAGGTAACGTTATCCAAACCACTTTAACACAACTGATGTCACATTATCTCTTTTTTTCAACAATATCTTCGGTTTCGGATGACATAGTGATGTCACTTTCACGTTCTGCATTATTTTTGGGGTCCTCGACTTCAGTGTGACTCATTTTTTCTCCTTTTTCCAGCTTCTCTCTCTGTTTACCTCCCGTCACAACTGTAGCCACGCTTACAATGAGAAGTGGGCGTATCCTGCCTGCATGGCATACGGTAGCCGGCAGACTCTGATATGCTGTTGTTACTTTTGCCATATGATATCGATTCAAAACGTCCCATGCTGATAATTGAGAATGATCAAAATTTTATCGCGATCCCGAATTGAGATCGTTTGATCGTCCAGCCCTAGTTTTACACTGGGACACTGATTTGACTCGACACTGCCCCCTGCAGACAAACTGCTTCATCACAGACCTGCTGAGACGCAGCTGAGCTCCTGTCCTTCTGGCTGCTGGCTTGTGTTTCATCATGGGTGGTGGTATGTAGCCGAAGTCGCCCAGTCTGTAGCGGGCCATCAGGAAGAATGGATCTGTGGCCAAGTTCAGGGTCTCTGCTCTGTGGAGGACAGACAGGATGATGGACACAGGAGCACAGTGATGGAGCGCTGCAGCAGGTTGCATCTGAGCTCGCTGTGTATTTGGTGCATGGCTGTTTGAATATCTCGTTGCGACCAGCGAACAGCTAGTGTGGTCCTGTTGGGACTCTGATCCACTCACTGTGCTGCTGTGAGCAAACAGCTGCAGGGAGTTCTGGGTTTTTACACACAGGAAATCAGCTGTGTTCCCATCACTGTCGCCACGAGTCATGAAACTAACCAACAGACATGATCCAGTGGAGACTGACTCCAGTACCTGGCTGGGTCGGGGTCAGAGCTCTGTGGCGTCTGTCCTGGACTGCTCTCCTCAGGGGTGGAGTCTGGTCCCTGAGGCTCGGCGCTGCGCAGCATCTGCTGCAGGATCTTACACTGAGCCTCCGACGTTTCCTCTTTCTGCAGAGGACAGAAAGCAATTCTGCATAAGCTTTTTACTTATGATACCAGAGAATATTTAGTCCTGTGATCGCTAACACTGCGGGTCAGGACTGTGTGTTTTTACCATCAGCATGCGGCCGAGAGTGACCGCTGCTTCTTGCAGGACGCCCTCCAGCTGCTCCCTCCTGCTGCTCCTCCTCTGGATCTCGGCCCTCAGCTCATCGACCTCGGCTGTTTTCTGACAACACTCCTCGGATGCTGAAGCCAGGCGCTGTCTGAACACACACACAATAACACTATGAGTCAGTGGTCGAGCATCTGACTGCAGCTCAAGAGGTCTGGTTCAAGGCCAGATGCACCTGCTTGGGATTCTTTAAATGTTTCATTAGTTTGTTCTGTCAGTTGATTTCTATGAAAACAAGGCAGTGGATTCAGATATTTAAAGGACCTGAAATGAGACTTAATACGTTAAAACTTGAGGAGTATAATGTTCTTTAAATGTACCTTGCATGACAATAAATTTGGATCTGAATCTATGGACAGTAGAAAGAGAGTGAACCTGAGAGTCTCGTTCTCTTCCAGCCTGCTCTGATGGGCGCTGCTACACTTCTTGATCGCCACCTCCAGCTGCTGACACTTCTCCGTCAGCGTCTTCGCCTCCTGAAGATGGAAGGTTTTGTTTTTAAACTCTCAAAAAGGAGGACATGGTAAAGGAGGTTCTGCTGCTAACCTGACTGATGTTTTCTCTGTCTAAATATCAGCTGATTATATTTTAATGTCATTAAAGGATATCGTTCCATAATCAATGTGCATGTGTTCTTTCACTGCTGTAGATGTAGACTGTCCTCTCACCGTCTTGTAGGTGAGTGTCTCCTGGATCACCGTGTCGACATCCTTCAATTTGTCAATCTCAGAGTAAAGATCTTTCTCTTGTTGGCACAGTTTGTCCTTGTCCTCCCACAGATTCATGCTCTTTTCCAGAAGGAGTTGAACCTTCTCCTGAAGCTCTTGGTGCTGAGCCCTCTCCTCCTGGATAATGTTTGAGACCTTCGTCTTAATGATATCCTCCTGTGTACTCTTCCTCTCCTCCACAACCCTGTAGGTGCTGGACAAACATTTAGTGTTTGTTGATGTGCAATTTAAAAAAACATGAAACATTAAAGAGGGAGATCAGTGTGATGTAACGCTGTCACTTTAACTCTGCCCTGGACTTTACTTTAGCCTCTCCAAGTCTGCCGCTTTCCTCAGGCTGTTGATGACAGCGTCTTGCTCCTTCTTCTCACTGGTCACCTGCCTCTGCAGACGCTCGCTGATGAGCTGCTGCTGCATCAGATGCTCCAGCTGCTCCTCCAGCTCCTGCTGCTCCTCAAACTTTGCTGCTGAGGGAAGGAGAGGAGAGTAAACAAGGAGAGGAGAAGATGCGTCCCACAGTGTGCTTCACACAGAGTGTCACACCTTTGCAGTGTCAGACTTGCAACACCTTTCAATCCACCCGCTCCACCGTTGGCTGATTGGTCATCACGACATTTCTTTGGTTGAAAAAGAAAAATGGATCCGTCGAGCGCTGCGTCGGGACTAAGGATGTCAACAGTTTAGCAGTGTCAGCACTCCTAGCAGTGCTATGTTTATTTGTTTCTATTTCCCAAAGTGCCGTCACTGCAGTCCAGATCTTACACATGTGAGTTGTAAGAGAGTGGAAGATGAAGCAAAGCATGTGTAAGAAACATTGTTCCTGCCTCACCTGCCTGCATGCTGCTCTCTGTGCAAAGCTCATCTATCCGGTCCTGCAGCTCCTGCAGCTGCTGGCTGTGCTGCAGCTTCAGCGCCTCTCGGTCCTGTTCGACAGCCTGCTGCTGACGCTCCAGCCGCCCGGTCAGCTCCTCCACCTTCTTCTCCTCTTCAGCCACGCAGTGCTGCAGGTACTCGGTGATGTCTGTCTTGTCCTCCTCCAGGATGCTGTACTGAAGGGCCAGGTCCTTGTTCTGTTTCTTCAGCTCATCACACTGAAGCTGACATCTGCAGGATTACATGTGAGAATCTACTGTGACTTTTGCTGTAAATATTTAAATGAAATAATAACTACACTATCTGTATGTGTATGAATACACATGAATATAATGGTGAGGTGAATTACAGTGATAATTCTTGGAACCAGTGGCTGTAGAAGTCTTCAGAAATCCATGAAATGTTTTATTTTGTTGTTTTACAAAATAAGGAAAACTTAAATGAGGTATGAGTACAATAAATGCTTTGATGCTGATCCTCCATGTACCACAATTTTCTGTTTATTTTTGTAATTAAATTAGTCAGAACACAAAGTGCAATGATCTTCAACAGAACTGGGACTCAAACAATTAACATGGGGAAACTGTGTTGCTTTAAAATACACATAAAGATTAATTTAAGAGACCAACTTAAATACTGTGATTGTGTTTGAGAGCTGAAACATTTAGTTGATGAGTTATATTACAGATTAATTAACAGACAACTATTTTGATAGTCTGTCATTGTTTTAGTCATTTTTCAAACAATAAAGCAACACATTCACTGTAGTGTGTGTTAGCATTAAGCTAACTCAGGCTCACCTCTCCAACTGCTTATCCAGATGTTGTATTTGTGTCAGATATAACCACATCTCTCTGTCGTCAGAATCGCTTTCATCCGCCATCATTATAAATATGTTGTTTTCCTGTGTATTTGTTGACTTAACGTTGTTATTCCCACTTGTTTAATCCTTCTTTCAGAGTGTTTTTCCAAGGAAGTCCACAGAATAATCTAAGTAGCTGAGAAACTGATGTGTATGTAGTTGCTAGGGAACGTTGCCTTTAGGAACCACTTAGGAAAGTTCTACACTTTTCAAAAATAAACTGCCCATGTCTAACAATCAGGCTGAGTGCTACTTGACATACTTGTGATTATCATTAATCAACTCAGTCAGCAGAAGAAAATGTTGGAAGTGTAAATTTGTACAAACCGCAAATACATTTGTACATTTCAAACGGATCATGTCAATGTTTCTAAAGTGACGTAGTTTAAGAGCTGGCTGTCATCAGGAGGTGGAGGGGATGGTGGATTTTTTGTCGGGCAAAAGACAAAACTGCTTGCAGTGAAGCGAGTCATTGCTGCGTTTCCAGCAGCTTTTTAGCCCCAAAATGTGGGGTGTTTTTTAATTATCTTTAACTGCATTTCTAGCGGCTTTTCATCCCCCAAGCGTTGGTGTTTTGAAGCAACCTGTCACTGCACTTCCATATTGGTGACCTTTTAGTCACCAAATATTGGTGCTTTTTAATGACCTATAGCTGCGTTTCCAGTAGCTTTATAGCTCCACACGTGGATGCTTGTAGCTACATTTCTAGTTGCTTTTTAGCCCCTCAAACATGTCTGCATTTTAATGACCTGCAGCTGCATTTCCAGCTCTTTTTTAAGCCCCCAAACATGAATGTTTATAAGTCACCTGTCACTGCACTTCCAGCAGCCTTTTAATTACCAAACATGGGTGTATTTTAAAGACTTGTAGCTGTGTTTCTAGCAGCTTTTCAGGCTCTAAAGGTCCCCTGGGAATAGCGGCATGAAAAGCAGTGGATTTTTAGCGACTCATTGCTGCTGTTCCAGCCGGGGTAGTGCCACAAAAACCTGGATATTTAAAGCCCAAACATGATCTTTTCCTAACCATGCCTAAACCTAACCACCTGATAACCACAGTGCTGTTGAAACATAAAGTTGCCATGTATCAGCTACACGATAACATATGTGTGTAACATATCTGTAGTTTGCAGAAACATATGTTGCCAACATTTTTTCTAGTGATTGAGTTGCAAAAATATTAATCAGCTGTCAACATCTTTATATAGTCAGAGCGTCTGGAAGTGAAACAGCTGACCTGAGTTGAACCTGAGCTCACTGGCCCAAGCATGCACCTTTGCACCTTTGTGAGGACACCTTCAGGTACAGTAAGTCATTTTCATAGCTGAGACATCTCGTCTGTGTCCTGACTCCACCTTCACCTCCAACAAGTATTCAGCCTGAGGCCGGCGTACTGTACCTCAGCAGTCTGTGTGTTCCCGTCTGTTTTTCTTGGCTGTTTTTTTTTCCTCTGCATCCACCCAACAGAGTCAAGCCTGGGAGGAACATGCTGTTAAAATACGAATAATGTGCCCTTTGCACGAAAAGTGAGAGGAATATGTTTCATCAGCAGGGAAGGATTAGACCGAAGGAGACACTAGAGGAGAGACAGAGCAGTTTGTGGTGGAAAGTGAGGGTGTGGAGGAGGAGGAGGCAGATGAGCCGAGACGCTCAGCTCTCACGACACACACAAAGAAAACACATTTTCATTTAACCAAAACAGAAACTGGAATCCTGAGATGAATCAAACATGCTTTGGTGAAACATTCTTTTTTTTTTTTTTCCCAAATTTACAACCACATGGGTCTCCTCTTCCTGCTGCTGTCATGACATCAGTTATTCTGCACGTTATTCAAGTTTGTTTAATGATCTCAACAACATGTGTTTACGTGTGGAACAAAAGAACATAAATGAACAACAACAACATGAAAGCAAAATACAGTAAAATCTGCGCAAAACAATCCAAAATAATCCAATTTATATCATTAAGAAAAATATAACATCATCCAGAGCAGCCAGCAGGTCATAAGTCTTATTCAAAATATCATTAATAATAATAATACATTTTATTTGGAGGCGCCTTTCAAGTCACCCAAGGTCGCCTTGAGTGTAGAAGATAAAAGACATCATTAAAACAAAACTTCAACATAAGAACAAGTGTAGTGCACAGTGTCCAGTTAGAGTGAATATGCCAGTTTGAACAGGTGGATTTTGAGTTGGGATTTGAATGATATGATGGAGTCTGACTGTCTTATGTGTGGGGGGAGGGAGTTCCAGAGTCTGGGTGCCGAGCAGCTGAAAGCTCGGGCACCCATGGTACTGAGGCGTGAGGTGGGGATGGTGAGGAGTCCAGCAGAGGTTGAGCGGAGGGTGCGGGAGGGGGTGTATTCCTGAAGGAGGTCACAGAGGTAAGTAGGGGCTAGATTGTGGAGAGCTTTGTAGGTGAGGGGAAGGTCTTTGTAGTGGATGCGGTACTGTACAGGGAGCCAGTGAAGTTGGATGAGAACAGGGGTGATGTGGTCAGATGATTTGGTGCAGGTGATGATCCGGGCGGCCGAGTTCTGAATGATTTGCAGTCTGTTGATGAGTTTGGTGGGGAGGCCGGTGAGGAGGGCGTTGCAGTAGTCGATGTGGGATGTGACAAATGAGTGAACCAGGATTTCAGTGCTGGATTGGGACAGTGATGGGCGGAGTCTGGAGATGTTGCGGAGGTGGAAGAAAGCAGTCCGGGTGATGTTTGAATATGAGGTGCAAATGAGAGGGTGCTGTCCAGAATGATGCCGAGGCTCTTGACTTGGGAGGAGAAGGATATAAGGAATCCGTCGATGATGATGGGTGGAGCTGGGGTGTGTTGTGACTTGGTGAGGGTGGATTTGGAGCCGATGAGCAGGGCCTCTGTTTTATTGCCGTCTAGCTTCAGGAAGTTCCTGCTCATCCAGCTCCGGATGTCTTCAAGACAGGTGGTGTGGGAGGTGGGAGGGATGGCAGTGGTGGGTTTGGAGATGTAGACCTGTGTGTCATCAGCGTAGCAGTGAAAATGGACCCCATGGTGACGGAGGATTGTGCCCAGGGGGAGGAGTAGATGGTGAACAGAAGTGGACCCAAGACTGACCCCTGGGGGACACCCAGTGAAACACCCGAACACCCAGACTTGTGGTTCCTTAATTGCACAAATTGTTGATGGTCGGTGAGGTATGATGTGAACCAGGAGAAAACACAGGAAGATTTTAGCAGTTTGTTCTTATTTTTCAAACATTGGAAAAATAATTTAATCATAAAGCAAATGAGGGTTTGGTGCCTCTCTAGTTTGACTTATAAATCATATTATTTAATGGTGCAGGGTGTAAGATTTTGGGGGATTTAGTGGCGTCTAGCAGGGAGGATTGCAGATTGCAACCAGATGAAACTTCTCCTGGTTAGAATTCCTTCAGTGTTCATTGTTCAGGAGCTGAGTCTCCGTCTAAAGCCAGTGTTTGTTTTGTCCATTCTGGGCTACTGTAGAAACATGGCGATCTCTGTAGACGAGGATCTGCTCCCTGTGTAGATATAAACAGCTCATTCTGAGGTAACAAAAACACAGTGATTCTTATGTTCAGGTGATTTTACACTAAAAAAACATAATTTCATATATAGTTCAAAAATGTACATTTGGCTGCTCTCAGGTTCACGAGAATGAGTCAGCAAAAAGAGGATTCAGGACTCTCCAGCAGAGTTTTAGTCCTGCAGTATGAGGGAGACTTCAAGCGGGGAGATAATAATGTGTAAATGAATGTTTTAGAGTTTATTTTGGTTGCTGGGTGGGGTCTGTGAAAGTGATTGGACTTCTGACCTCATTATTCATGACATCTGAACTTGTCGTGACCTCACAACACGTGGAGAGAATGTAAATACACGTCAGGCACCGCTAATGTAAAGCTATAAAAAGTAACAGACAATAAAGGTAGAAGGTAGACGAAACAAAAGAAAACCATTGTGGATGTTTCGGCCACCCAGTGATCACAGAGCTGTGATGACACAGCTGCCTCTGCGACACAGCTGCCATTAACTCACACTAATTACTCGTTAGCAGCACAGATGCAACACATACTTTTCAAAACAGGACAGTCTTGTATCACGTCCCACAGCTGCTCAGGAAAACTTCTGAGCTTTATTAACAAAGTGCGTTAATTTATGTTTGTGTTGCATTTTAGCTGGAAACTAATTTGAAGTGTTTTTATCTACAAACGTGTTGCCTTCAGAGCAAACTGCAACTGTTACATCATCTGATAGATTTCTGAGTGCGCCCTCATGCTCTGGATCTGTAGTGTGTGTGTGTGTGTGTGTGTGTGTGTGTGTGTGTGTTTTGTGGTTTAAAGCAGCAACACATCAACAGATCCTGAGAACAGAAGGCGACCTGCTGCAGAGGGGAGAGGCACGCTTCAAAATAGCTCCTTAAATGATGCTATTAACTGTCTGAATGCAAATTCTGTCAGCTGTTTGTTTCCCAGTCGTCAAGGACAGTCTGTAATTAAACTTAGAGGCACACCAGGCATCCACTTATTATTACTCAACACATCAAGCAGCTTCACACATCAGCTCCTCCTCCTCACACGCTGGCTGCTAACACATATTTCATAAATCTTGTCTATTTTTCCTGATGCAGGGACATTGTAAGTTACATCAGCCACTACAGATGGATTCAGTCCAGTCAGCACAATGAACTGTTGCCACTGTACGTTTCTGCAAACCACAGACATGTTACATTTGTACCTCTATTCCTATGACAGAGCTGAGTTTCTAATCAGCTGGAGGAGATGATGGTGGCTGGTGTGACACCAAGGTGAAATGGTGGCCAGGCAGCAGGCCAACAAAAGTGTTTTGTTTTTTTTAACCAGAGTTCAAGAGATTTCCAACCATGTGCTGCTGCAAAACTGGGTAATTTTAGTGAGAGTTTGGGACATTTCCATTGGTGTTTGCAGCAATAAAAGTGGGTATTTTTTGACAATACAATTTCCAACTATGTTAGTAGCAACAAAAGCATTTGTCTCTTTTTGTAGTGAGAGTTTGGGA